ATATGATCAACTAATATTTGACAAGAGAGCCAAGAATATTCCATGGGGAAAGGATAGTCTTTTCAGTAAATGGTGCTGGGAAAACTGGATATTCACATGTAAAATAATGAAATTGTATTCCTATCTTTATCTTTTAAAATATTTATCTATTTTGAGAAACAGAGAGAGAGAGAGCATGTGTGTGCACAAGCAGGAGAGGAGCAGAGAGAGGGAGAGAGAGAGAATCCCAAGCAAGCTCCACACTGTCATCTCAGGGCCTAATGCAGGACTTAATCTTATGAACTATGAGATCATGACCTGAGCCAAAACCAAGAGTCAGACACTCAACCAGCTGAGCCACACAGGTACCTCTGGACCCCTGTCTTTATACCACTAATGATAATCAACTCAAAATGGACTTAAAGACTTTAATGTAAGACCAGAAACCATAAGACTCCTAGAGGAAAACATGTGGAGAAAGCTCCTTGGATTGGCCTTGGCAACAGCTTCTTGAATATGATACCAAAAGCACAAGCAACACAAGCAAAAACAAGGTGGGGCTACATCAAACTGAAAAGTTTCTGCAGCAAAAGAAATGATCAACAAAATGAAAAAGTGACTTATGGAATGGAAGAAAATATTTGCAAACCATATGTCAGATAAGGGATTAATATAAAATTATATAAAGAACTCAAGTATCTCAAATAGCAATAATCCACTTTAAAAATGAGCAGAGGACCTGAACAGACATTTTCCCAGAGAAGACATACAGATGGCCAACAGACACATGAAAAGATGCTCAACATCACTCACCATCAGGGAAATGTAAATCAAAACCACAATAAGATATCACCGCACATCTGTTAAATTGGTCTATTATCTAAAAGACAAGAGATACCAAGTATCATCAAAAATGTGGAGAAAAGGGAACCCTTGTGCACTGTTGATGGGGATGTAAATTTTTATAGCAACTGTGGAAAACAGAATGGAAGTTCCTCAAAAAATCAAAAATAGAATTATCATATGATCCAACAAGCCTACTTTTGGTGATATATCCAAAGGAAATGAAGTCACTATCTTAAAGAGATATCTTCACCTTAATGTTCATTGCAGCATTATTCATAATGGGCAATATATAGAAACAATCTAAGTGTCTGTCAATAGATGAATGGATAAAGAATATTATATGTGTGTGTGTATGTATGTGTGTATATGTATGTATGTATGTATGTATGTATATATCCTGCCATTTGCAACATGGATGGACCTTCAGGGTATTATGCTAAGTGAAATAAACCAGGCAGAGAAGGAAAGACTGCATGATTTCTTTTACATGTGGAATCTAACAAAAGCTAAACTCAAAGAAACAGAGAGTAGAATGGTGGTTGCCAGGGGCTTAGGGTGGGGAAATGGGGGAGATTTTGGCCAAATAGTAAAAAAAAAATTTTTTTTAATTCTATGAGATAATGATATGCCTGGAACAAAGTAAATGGTACGTATTATTATTTCTTCCTCTGTGGTCTCCTATCAAGTAAAATTGTGACTTCCCTTTCCTTTTGCTTCCCCGAGATTTCACCAGATACACAAATATTATTTAGTAGATTGGCTATACGGTCTGTCATGCAACCAAGATTTACCTTTTCTAGAAAATCTGAGTAGAATTCATTCCATTTCAAAACTGGATACTCGTGTGGACTCAATTATTTCCTCACCCCAAATCCAGAACTTAAGGGTCCTTCCTACTCTTTTTTAGTAGGTAGATGAACTATATGCTAGAAATAGTTGACATAGTATTAACTCTCCAAATAAGCATATTTGAAGAGAAAGTTTTAGCTTCAGGAAAGAAAAAAAGAAGAGTAGCATTGGATACAAGAAATGATGTTGAATAGCAAAGGAGTAATTTGTTGAGCGCCATAGAGGCTGTGTAATATAGTGGTTGAAAGTGCAGGTCATGGGGAGGACAGTGGTGGTTACCAGGAGTTGGGGGTGGCGGGAATGAGGAAGATATTGCTCAAAGGGCACAAACTCCTGTAATTAGATTAACAAATTTGGGGTTCTAACATATGGCTTGGGGATTATGGCTAGTAATAGTGTACCATATACTTGAAAGTTACTAAGAGAGTAGATCTCAAATGTTCTCACCACAAGAAAGAAATAGTAATTATGTGAGTGGATAGGGGAAGGTAGTAAGTAGTAACACCATAGCGATAATCATTTTGCAATTTATAAATGTAACAAATCTACATGTTGTAAAACTTAAACTTACATAATGTTATGTGTCAATTATATCCCAATAAAGTTGGGGAAAATTAAGAAGAAAAAAACAGAGTGAAGGTCATAGAGCAAAATGACCTGGATTGGAGTCTAGATGTATAAAGTCTAGCCTTCTCCTTACCTTAGTTTTACCACCTAGAAAATGGTGATAGTAGTACCTAATAGTAATATCTAAAACAGTTGACATGAAGGCTAAATAATTTAATACAGGTAAAATCCATTGAAGTGCCTAGGTTATAAGAAGCACCTAGTGAATGTTAGTTATTACCATGCATCAGGTCTGCTTGGCACTGGGTCACAGGGAGGAACAAGATAAACAAGCTTCTTGCATTAAAGAGCATAACCTTCTAGGTAAGCGGTGTACCAGATTTCTTGTTTGCTCTCCAGACCCACTTGCCACACTTCTCCACCCTGCTCTGTGTCTCCAGAGGTGACTGAAAGACCTCCGTGGATCTTCAGTTGTCTTTTGTTTTCTGGTTCTCCCCCTGACAGGTGCTGCCTACATTCCTGTATCAAAGGCCACAACTTCTGTCAAGCAGCCCACTCTGGTTCAGGAACAGACCCCTCCCTCTCCCTTTCAAGCTTGTTACTGGTAATACTCACCCCTATTATTAGATCAGGATTTTACACTATCTCTTGTTGGTTCCCTGAAACCTTATCCACACCTGTCTTTAAATTATCCAGTTTTTTAAATGTTTTATTTATTCATTTTGGGAGAGAGAGAATCCCAAACAGGTTCCATGCTTTCAGCACAGAGCACAACATGGGGCTCGATCTCACAAACCGTGAGATCATGACCTGAGCCAATATCAAGAGTCAGGTGCTTAACTGAGCCACCCAGGCACCCCTAAATTATCCACTTTTAAGCATGTCTTTCCCACAGGGATCCTGGCCAATGCAAGGGAAGACAGACAATAAATAAGTAAACAAATAAATGAACCAGATAAGTTCAAATCAAACCAAAATAATGTGAGGTAATATGATAGAATAATAGGAAGGCTATTTTTTATTATTTATTTACCACAAGTAAAAAAATGTTTATGGCATGAAATTTCCCATCATAATCATTTTTAACTATAAAGTTCAGGAGTAGATATATTCGCATTGTTGAGCATCCAATTTCCAAAACTCATTTTAATCTTGCAACACTAAATTCTATACCTATTAAACAGTAACTCCCTCCTGTCCCTAGAAACCATTATTTTACTTTCTCTATGAATTTGACTATTCTAGGTACCTCATACAAGTAGAATCCCACAGTATTTGTCTTTTTGTGACCCCTTTATTTCACTTAGCATAATATCCTTACAGGTCGTCTGTGTTGAAACATATATCAGAATTCCTCCCCCCCCCTTTTTTTTAGGGCAGAAAAATACGCCATTACATGTATATGCCACATTTCACTTACCCATCTTTCCTTCAAGGGACAGTTGGTTGCTTCCACATTTTAGCTATCATGACTAAACCTTCTGTGAATATGGTTGTACAGACATCTTTTCAAGACCTTGATCTCAGTTCTTTGGGGCATATACCCACCAGTGGCATTCTGGATCATATGACAATTCTATTTTTACTTTTTTGAATAATCTCCAACTGGTGGTGCACAAGGATTCCAACACTACTTACCTTTTAACATATTTAAAAAATTATAGTACAAAGTACTAATTTCAAAAGGTAGTGAGGAGGGGCGAGGCGAAATGGGTGAAAAAGACCCAAAGGTACACACTTCTAGTTATAAAACAAGTAAGTTGTGGGATGTAGTGTACAGTGTGGTGACTGTAGTTAATAATACTGAATTGCATATTTCGAAGTTGCTTACAGTAGATCTTAAAAGCCATCACAAGAAAAAATTGGTTTTTTGTAACTATGGAAAGTGATGGATGTTAATTAGACTTATTTTGGTGATCATTTCACAACCTATACTAATGTCAACTCATTATGTTGTACACCTGAAACTAATAAAATGATATATGTTAATTATACTCCAATAACAACAAAAAAAGGTAGCAAAGGATAAATAGTAGGTATTGGTAGTTTTGTGATCGTTCAGAGGTAGACCAGGTTTAGACACACATTTTCAATTTTGGAGTCATTAGCATATAGACAGTATTCAAAACCATGAGACTGGATAACCGCCCCCTCCAACACACACACACCAGGAAGGTAGTGTTAATGACGTGCTTACCATGGGAGGCACTATTCTAAGTGTGTTGCGGACGAAATGACACAAAGACAAGACACACACAAAAGACAGACACAGACACAACTCCGGCCAGAGGAACAATTCTACGCAAGCCCCTCTTGCGGTTTATTTTATACCCCGGTAACTGGATACAAACTGAAATCTACAAGACGCATTCCTTTACCAATTAAGGGCAAGTAGCCAAACACATTTCAAGGACAGGGGGGAGCAAAGGGAGGAAGCGACCACAACATGTTTACTAAGAGGCCTGCCCACAATTCCAGCCTTCTTCTTACTTCTAAGGAGGGCATGTTCCCTCGTTTGCAAGAAGACCATTAAACTTGGATATTGTGTGCAGGCCTCCTGGCAGAGCATCCTGTTTGCAGGCATGCCTTGCCCAGGCAGGGAGCCCCATGTGCAGGCACATCCCCGTGTCCCTAACCACGCTTTCTTGTGGTCACTGTCAGGCTCCCACATAAGTGCTTTGCAAGTATTATCTCATGCAATCCTTACACTAGCCCCATGACATAATTATTATCTTAACCCCCATTTTGCAGTAACTTACCTGAGGTCCTGCAGTGACTAAGTGCTGGTGCTGTGCTTGGAACCAGAGCAGTCTGACTCAAATGCCTGCATTTTGATTTCCCGTGAAGCTCACGGAGCAGAAGCTTACACGGGCCCTTCCTGGATGGGGAGAGCTGCTGCAACGTGGTTGCTTTGTCATGTGTTTTTGAAATCCTGCAAAGGCAAAATCATTTCACCACAAGCAATTAAGACCACTCTTTCCTTCCACTGCAACTATGCCTCATGCAATGTGGTGGTGGTTGGCCACAGAGATTTGGGGGGACATTGCTAAAGATAAGCTAATTTGGGGATAACTTAAGTTTTGGTCTAGTTGGATATATTTATGTGGTTCATAATCACTTTCACATATAGGCATTAGTAGCCATTCTGGCATAGGAAAAGCTTCCAAGAATATTCTTAGTGCCCACTCTACCAACAGTACTGGAATTATGACAGCTAGTGCGGAGACAGCAGTGTTCATCAGTTTTCAATATGAACTCATCCTGTGGTGTCCAGCACATGAATGTGGGCAGTGGAGGGGAAACATTAATGGATCCTGAAGTTAGTCTGTGGACTAACTTCCAATTATCAGATGTATAAGGTGATAAGGGGGAGGATATGGTTCTCATTGGCAGCGAATCAAATTAGAAATTCTCTCTTGTCAGAAACATACTCAATATATACTTTTTTTTCATTTTTGATGAAGTCATTTAAGATAGAATTTATTAAGGGGCACCTGGGTGATTCAGTCAGTTAAGCGTCCAACTTTGGCTCAGGTCATGATCTCACAGTCTGTGAGTTCGAGCCCCACATTGGGCTCTGTGCTGACAGCTCAGAGCCTGGAGCCTGATTCTGTGTCTCCCTCTCTCTCTGCCCCTCCCCCACTCGCACTCTGTCTCTCTCTCTCAAAAAATAACATCAAAATATTTTTTAATAAAATAAATATAATTTATTAAAATTTGTTTGTAGGACACATTACCACAAATGGCAAATGAGTCTGTGACGTCTTCTGATCCCCAGTATGTGTTGTTGTTCCACACCAATTCTATACCAACTGAGTGTCCAACACTTCAATTCAATTCTGACACTAAGTTCCAGAGTTAGCGCTGGCCCCACAGCCTCACAGGATTGCTCCCACCTCAGATGCCAGCCACAAAGTGGGTACTCAGGCTACCCACACTTCTGCTCAGCAGATTACAAATTCAGGGGCTCCCACAATGCCATTCTTGGGTGATAATTCACTACAATGACTCACAGAATTTGGAGAAGTACTATATTTACTAGTACATAGAAGGTAAGCAGCCGGATAAGGAGATACATAGTCAGAGGGCTGGAAGGGGCAGGAGTACAGAAGTCTGTCCCCAGGGAGTCAAGGTTTGCCTCTCTCTTGGCACATGGATGTGTTCACCAACTCAGTTCTCTGAATTTTATAGTTCAAGAGCTTTTAAACTTTTTTGAATGTTTATTTTATTTTTCAGACAGAGACAGAGCATGAATGGGGGAGGGGCAGTGAGAAAGGGAGACACAGAATCTGAAGAAGGCTCCAGGCTCTGAGCTGTCAGTAAAGAGCCTCACACGGGGCTCAAACCCACAAACCATGAGGTCATGACCTGAGCTGAAGTCCAATGCTCAACTGACTGAGCCACCCAGGCACCCCAAGAGCTTTTTAACAGTCTCCAGTCCCCTTTGTTTTCCCCAAAGTCAGAGGGTGGGGATGACCCACCCTCTACCCTTCCATTTGGCCTTTTTGGTGACCGGCCCTCATTCTGAAGCCATTAAGGGGCCCCATTCTATGTCATTGTATTAGCATAAACCAAGTGTGGTTGAAAGTGGCTCATAAAAAACAACAAAAGACATTCCTGTCACTTAGGAAATTCCAACAGTTTTAGGAGCTTTGTGCTGGGAACTAGAGACAAAGACCTAATATATACTGTAACAGAGTCTGTAGTTGCATACGCATTGAAATCAGGCCTTGAATTTCTCATTTATTTTACTGAAACCTTCAGAAACATCAGGTTTTTCTTCCAAGTTTTTTGAAAGAGATTTTAGAATCTTGAAATGTTTTTGTATCTGTATTGCAAGATTTGAACTTTATAATGGGTAGACTCTTACTAATTTTGACTCTTTAAAGAAAAATCCACATTGGTATATGCTTTTTTAAATTTTTTAATGTTTTTTTTTTTATTATTTCTGAGAGAGAAAGAGACAACGTGAGCAGGGGAAGGTCAGAGAGAGAGGGAGACATAGAATCTGAAGCAGGCTCCAGGCTCTGAACCGGCTGTCAGCACAGAGCCTGATGCGGGGTTCGAACACAAGAACTGTGAGATCGTGACCTGAGCCAAAGTTGGGCGACGCTCAACCGACTGAGCCACCCAGGGCCCCCCCCGCCCCCCGCCCCGGTATATGCTTTTAAAATAAAAAACAAAGCAGCTATTATAATTAAAACCATTTCATTAATATCCTCATAGAAGACAGAGCATCTACCAAATAAAAACAGGATGTTACGAAAAAGGAAAAAATTTTGGAAATTAAAAATATAATTGCCAAAGACTCAATAGAAGTGTTATAAGAAGGTAAAAGAAATCTTCCATAAAATGAGAGAACGTGCCTGTATACAATGAGAGACAAAAATAGGAAGTCTACCATTTGACTCACCAGAGATCCAGCAACAGAACAGAAATGGTGAGGATAAGATTGACAGAGAACTAATAGATTAGAAATACTTGGAGCTGAAGGACCTGAGTCCTCAGGTTGGAAAGTTCACAAAAGCCCAGCATGATGAGGGACTCATCTGACAGACTGTCAGATTGTCGTGAAAGTAGGACCATGACAAAATTGGTCATGAGAAATACTGGACGCCAGAAGACTGACAATTTCCCTCAAATTTGGAGGGAATCTGACTTTACAATCGTACAATTTAAATAGAAAAGAGATGGGCACCTGTGTGACTTAGTCAGCTAAGCTCCTGACTTCAGCTCAGGTCATGATGTCATCAGTGAGAGGTGTGAGTTCAAGCCCAGCGTCGGGCTCTCTGCTGTCAGCGTGGAGTCCGCTTCGGTTCCTGTCTCTGTCTCTCTGCCTCTCCCCAGCTCATGCCTTCTCTTTGTCTCAAAAAATAAACAAAAACATCAAAAAAACATTTTTTTTAAATACACACAAAAGAGAAAATCACTGGGAATAATATCACATCCATGTATCCATTGTTCAAATGTGGCGACATTTTTTCATTCTTGCTTCAGAAAATAAGTACAAAATAGAACACCCCACACCCTAAGGCCACTATTCTCACAAATTAGGTGTGTAAATTCTAGTGTATGTTTTCACACTTTTACTTCCTGTACATGTAGCTATACACAACAGTGTGAGCCATATGTTTGATGGTATCTGAATTGCAATCAGATGGTATATACATATCTTTCTGTAGTTCGTTTGCCACTTTATCGGTTCTATCCACAGGCCATGGAGCTCACTGCCAGGGGCACATGCAGGTTTTGTGGGGTCTGAAAAAAGAATATTGTATTCGCTTTGGCAACACATGCACCAAGAAAAAGGATATTAAACTATGAATACAAAATTAAAGCAACGTTTTTATTCAGAGTAAGAAAAGAAATTATAGGGGCGCCTGGGTGGCTTAGTCGGTTAAGCGTCCGACTTTCGCTTAGGTCATGATCTCGTGGTTAGTGGGTTCGAGCCCCGCCTCAGGCTCTGTGCTGACTGCCAGCTCAGAGCCTGGAGCCTGTTTCAGTCTATGACTCCCTCTCTCTCTGACCCTCTCCTGCTCACACTGTCTCTCTCTCTCTCTCCTAGAAATAAATAAAAAACATTAAAATAAAAAAAAAGAAAAGAAATTATAGCACAGCACAACTTTTAGAAGGCTCACAGACAGAGAAAAGCAAAACTTGTTATTAATTCACCACATGACGCACCTCTGTGTGGTTTTTTCATGCTGTAACTTTTAGCTGCTTACTTTGTTATAGCCTTTTCATAGGATAACGATTTTGTAATATTGTTTGCAAAAGAGAGCATAGAAAGATAATTTAGTCCCTTATGGCTGAACCAAAATGCGCTCTTCGTAGCTGATAGTTTAGGAAAATTCCTTTTTGCTTCACAGATCATGTAAGGTGATAACATAGAAACTGCAAGAATTGTTATCACCTTTAGGAATGCTTCCATTTTGCACTCTGAGTTTTTGCTTTTTCATAGCAACCTGCTCTTATTTTATGGGTGCACCACCTTTTATGAGCATACTGATTAGATGATTTTTTCTTTAGTTTATTTATTTATTTTGAGAGAGAGGATGCCGAGGAGGGGCAGGGAGAGAGTCAAGCAGCTTCCATGCTGTCAGCACAGAGCCTGATGTGGCCTTGACCCCATAAATTCTGAGATCATGACCTGAGCTGAAATCAGGAGTCAGACATACAATCCACTGAGCAACCCAGGCGTCCCCAGATGATTCTTTTTTCTTTTAATGTTTTATTTATTTCTGAGGGAGAGAGAGAAGAGAGAGACACAGTGTGAGCAAGGGAGGGTCAGAGAGAGAGGGAGACACAGAATCTGAAGCAGGCTCCAGGCTCTGAGATGGCTGTCAGCACAGAGCCCGATGCGGGGCTCAAACCCACGAACTGTGAGATCATGACCTGACCCGAAGTTGGACGCTTGAACACACTGAGCCACCCAGGCGCCCCACCCAGATGATTCTTTAAATGTTTATTTATTTTTTAGAGAGACAGAGCATGAGTGGGGGAGGGGCAGAGAGAGAGGGAGACAGAATCCAAAGCAGGCTCCAGGCTCTGAGCTGTCACCAAAGAGCCCAACGCAAGGATCCAATTCACAAACCATGAGATCATGACCTGAGCTGAAGTAGAGGGCTTAACTGAGCCACCTAGGCATCCCCAGATGATTCTTTTAAATGCATTTCCTTAGTTTTTTGTTTGTTTGTTCCCCTGAGTTATCGTGGCTTTCTCATGTTACTGCTTGTTTCTGTTAGTTTATCTTGTCTTTACTGTTTTCCTTAAATGTTCCATCATATTTGATGGTGTACACATGCCTGAGCATGGGACAAGAGGGGAGCTGCCTGTAACTCCCACTGGGGAAGACAGAGAGCTGTGCTTTATAACAAGCAGGTGGATACCCAGGCACTCTGTTTGGAAATCCTAAAGACCAGACACAGAGGACGTCCTAATTCATGCCGTGTCTTTAGAATACACCAACATTCTCACGAGGCTTGCAGGGAGGATCCTGGCAGCCAGCCCCTCTGCACACAGGGATGGGAGGGGAGGGTTGAGTAAGGCTTCAGCTCTGCAGCTCTCTTCTATCATGAGGATAGTGGTGGCAAAAACATTGAGAAAACTAGCATAAACAATTTCATGATTATTTTGGTTTTTACAGTTTTCCTGGCTACCCTTTGGAGAGGTCTCTTCTGCCATCTTCCTTTCAGCATAAGAAGGCAGCTTTCAGCAAGATCTGGACCTCTGGAATTTTGCTTGAGGGCTGCTCAATGCTCTTCCTCTTCCACAGCCTCCCAGCTCAGAAAACACTTCTCAATGCTCATCTTAAGAATGTGATAAAGACGCAAAGATGTGACGAATACGAATGCCGTATTTTCAATTTTTGAAAACTGGGTCAGTCGCAGATCTGAATAGCACTGAAACACAGCTGCTTTCATTTTTTTCTTTTCCTGACAACAACATCTAATTTTAAACTGCAAGAACAACTAAATCAGAAGTGTGTGTTTGATTATAATATGAGAAGGTGGATCTTGCATTAAATATATGGTTCCAGTTCAGAGTGGAGGTAGGCTCCAGTTTGACTTAAAACCACAGAGCTCTATGGGATGCCCGGGTGGCTTAGTCGGTTGAGCATCTGACTCTTGATTTCAGCTCAGGTCATGATCTTATGGTTTTGTGAGATTGAGCCCCGCATCTGGGGGCTGCTGACAATGCTGAGCCTGCTTGGGATTCTCTCTCTCCCTCTCTCTCTCTCTCTCTGTCCCTCCCTGCTCATGCGCTATCTGTCTCTCTCAAAATAAATAAATAAAAAAAAGAAAGAAAGAAAAGAAAAAAAACCACAGAGCCCTAAATCCATAGAGTTTCTAATTTGCAATATGCTTAACATAGTGGGATGTTCCCTAGCCATCCCAACACGGACGCAAGGCCAAACTGGTTCTGTTCAGTGTCACTTTTACAAGGGGACAAGGGGTTTCCCTTCAGAACACCATAACCCATCCAGGAGGCCACATCCCTTCACCCTACGTTCTGGGGCTTACCAGAGTCAATGTTGCCAACATAGGAAGGGGCAGATGGGAGAGAAAGTTTGCCAAGACCTCCAGGGCCAAAGTGCTCATTCCAAACCAGGTGCTCAGGGCCAGCTCAGTTCCACAGACTATGATGGTGCCCTGCACTTGGCAGCGGGAGGGACAGTTGGTCACAGAAGTAGCTCCCACTTCATGGTTCCACCTCCCTCCAGTTCTGCCCAACCACCTCCTCCTTTCAGATTTCTCCACATCTTCCTCTTCTGTTGTCCATGGTGAGGGCCACCCCCACTCCCTTCTCCTCTGTCTTCAGACTGTGGTCATGTATGTGGTCTCTGTGAGCAGTAAAGCCTGCAAAGTTGCAAACCAAACTTTTTGCCTGGAGAGGTAGTGACTCACATCTACCTTTGGAGGTAGTGACTCACACTCACATCTACCCATACATGCCAGGAGTGGGGATGGGAGCTACCGTGAGGGATGAAATTAACAGGTTTCTGGATCTTAGTGGTACTATAGGGCATGGTGAGGGTTTTTTTTTTTTTTTTAAGATTTCCTGCTTGAATCAACTTTTTGGATCAACTGGCCCTTTTCTACTGAAAAAGAAGGTTTCCTGCTATGCTATTAGTAGCCACATTTCATCAGGTACCTATGAATGTCCGTGCCGCCTCAGATGCATTTCATCATTTCTTGCAAGGCCCCAGTATCTGCAAACTGCTATAAATAGAGAAACAGAGGCTCCCAGAAGCTGATTACCTCACTCAAGACAACCCTGCAACTTAAGTAATGGAATAAGAATTTGATTATTAGTCATTTCTAAGAGACCGAGTGCAGGGTCAGACTCATGGGCTGTCCAGACTAGTCTTTGTGACAATGGCACAAAGAAAGCATTTAGGAAGGCCTGCTTGCAGTTCCTTAGCTCACAGGTTAGATGTGAACCCACTACATTCCTATCTACCTAAATTGACCTGTTAGGAAACTAACATGAATTAGGTATTGACTACATGCCAAGCACTGTACCGGCTGCTTGACACTTCATCTCAATCTGCTTGTTTACCTTCTTATGAAATAAGAATTGTTATTCCCACTTTTCTGATGAGGAAATTGATACTCAGTCCTTACATATATATAACTGTTCTAGGGTCAGATAGTCAGTAGAGCCATGACTTGAGCTCAGCGTGAAAAGATTCCGGAGTCTTCTCCATGTGGCTTCCACTAATCGCAACCTATTTCTCTTAAGGCCATTCTGATGGCCCTTGAAGCATCAGGACAAATCCTTTTGTGAGGAAGCATAAGAAAGTTGTATCTGGGGGCGCGTGGGTGGCTCAGTTGGTTAAGCATCTGACTTCGGCTCAGGTCAGATCTCATGGTTCATGGGTTCAAGCCCCACATCTGGCTCTGTGCTGACAGCTCAGAGCCTGGAGCCTGCTTCAGATTCTGTCTCCCTCCCTCTCTGCCCCTTCCCCGCTCATGCTCTGTCTCTCTCTGTCTCAAAAATAAATAAACTATAAAAAAATTTAAAAAAAAAAAAGAAAGTTGTATCTGGAAAGGCTCCGTGTTGATGCCCTCCAGGCCTTCAGTATGCATTATTCAAATGCTAACTGAGAACTTGGATGACATAATGGTGTCAGTGTCTAAAAACATCTAGAAAAGTTTCCATTTATATTTGTGAAAATCTGCTTCTGCTCACTACAGGACAATCGAAGCCAAAAGCAGGCAGACAGTCATGTGCTAGTCTGCAACTTCTTGTGGGAGGGGCTATCTTCGT